TGAAAATGCTGGGTACTCTGACCGCAGTTAGCAAGGTCCTGGATGAACTGCCCACCCGGGACCCTGAACCCCAGCCTCACTCATGGGACCCTACATCCACCTACCTTTCTTTGAAGCTCTGAGGCAGCCCGCAAGGTCAGGTACCACCACAGCGCTAGAGGGCCAGCCCAGGCAACCAGCTGTCCCTGTCCCTCCTCATCCTGGGCTGAGCTACCTCACGCCTCCATCCTTGCCAGCATGCCACCTGCCCTACCTGCCACAATGCCTGACTGCAATGTTCCCCAAGATTCCCATCACATCTCCATGGCCCCCCTCAAGGTCCCCTACTCTCCTGTCAGTTCAGGCCTTTAATGCCATGGGGCGCTTGCTCAGGCCCCTGGCCTAAAGTGCCATTCCTTCCTCCCATGTCCCTCCTTGTGTGATAGAAATTTTAAAAAATTTAAAAATAGACTAAGTAGTCTGACGCTATATTAGGGCAAAATAAGATCATGCAGCCCACCATATAGCTCCTCTGTTAGACTCAGGCAGCCTTGACTGACTACAGCAGAGATGACTGACCCAGCTCAGTTTGACCACACCCAGCTGCACAGACTTTCTAGCCCTCAAACATACCTTGTTTGCTAACTTGTTTCAAGGACTTTCTGCCTAGCAAGGAGAGATGACAGACACTACACAATAGAAATTCACCATGCTTTTAGCTATTATATCTCCCACTTGCAAACCTATATAAACTAAGCCCAAAGTTGACTCTGGGCTGATGCTTTGGAAGTGATCTCCCCATCAATCCATCAGTGAGTTAAGTTGGTTGCCTTCCAACTCCTTGGTGCAGAGTGTTCTGTATTAAGTTCAGTACTGGTTCCACAACACGACCCTTGACCTGGGTGCTTGCTTCCCAAATCCTTTCACACAGGTGCACTGCTAGAATCCTCTGCTTCTGGTGCCAAGATCCTGTCTCATCCAGCCTACAGGGAGCCCGTTCCAGACAGTGCTCTAACAGGAGCTCCATTCCTTACTGGCAACTTGTTTTGTCCCAAAGTCCCCCAGTGGCAAGGGGACAGAGAGAGCATTACACACACTTAGATCACAAGAAGTGGACAAAGCTGGTTTTCCCCAAACACCGATGGTCGCTGTGGTGGACTGACAACTGGTGGTCAACGTGTAACACCCAGCTGAACCGAGTCAGTGTGGTGCTGGCTGTGGAGGGCCCACCTGGAGATTGTTGCCAACAACACAAAAAGGAGAACTGGAGAGGAAGAAGTGATTTGTTGGTTCTCCTGGATTTCTGTTTGGATCTCTTTCATTGATTCAGTTTTTTTCTTATGTTGGGCACTCATGGTTTCCATCATTTTCCTGAGCTCCTCTATTTGTTTATCTGTGTCTGCTTTAATGTGTTTCATTTTGATTGTCA